AATTGCAAATCATCTGTTCCACAGAGGAGAAAGCAGTGCCCAAGAGCCTGACAGGGTTGCTCCATAGGCAGCTACAAATCGGTGTTAGCACAGAGCTACAGAGCAAACCTGTTTTTCAAAGATCAACCTGGTACCAATGCTTTGTTACCAGCAACCTGGTTTTCCAATCTTATGCCTAGTCTGGACCAGAATAATGTGTTTCAACAGTCGGTTGGAGAAAACATCTGACAGAAGGGATGGGAAGTGGCTGGCCCAGCTGCAGAACTAGATAACCGCCCGATAGCCCAATAACACCACGTCCTTAACTCTCTGTGATTCTAATATGTGACCAAGTCAGAAGGCAAACTCTCCAATCACACAGACCCTTCTGTTACCAGACTAATAACAACACAAACATTTCTTTCCAACACTGAAATCTTGCTCACGCTTGGCATGTAGCAGGAACCCATAGAGATTCCTGCCACGATCATGTAACAGAAAGCGTGACTTCATAGTCACCATTCTCCAGGACACCATGGAAGGCAAAATGCCCTTCAGGGATGCAGATGCAGGGCAGCAGCTGGGCCCCAACTCTCCTGTCAACAGAGCAAATCACATGGACAGCTTTCAATCAACTGGGCCCACGTTTCATGGGGATGTGCTGCCTGCCAGCACACCAGCCCCATCTTCTGGGGTGACTGAAGCAAGGAAAATGCACAAGGAAGAGTTAGAAGAGAACAGCACAGTCCCATGCCAGCCAGGGAGAACTACCTGCCTTGTGGCATCTCCTGGGGTTCTGCTCTCCTTGGCTGTGCTGTGCCCAGCAGCTGGCTGGCCGAGCAGCAGTCCCTCTCCTGCGGGCCCATGCCACGTGTCTAAGTTGGAACATTATTCTCCAGTTCTAGGAAATTGGATTAAGGGTCAGAGAATACCGACTGTTATTTACCTTTGATTAAAACCAGCCCTCCTCCCTCCTGGGCTGGAGAGGCCAATGTTGCTGTTATTTATTCTGCTGCCAAACCTGGAGTTCAATCCCTGCCCTGCGGCACTCAATAAAAGCCAACGCAGAGGGGAGGGGGGTTACAGCAGGCAAGCAGGCAGGGCTGTGTGGGTGGAAGGGGAGTGATTATCCAGGCCACTAAGTCCAGTTTGCTTCTTTTGCAGTCAGGCTCTGGCTCAGCAAGGACAGTGCCTGCCCCTGTGGCTCGCAGCACTGACGGGGATCCAGCCAGGGTGATCCCAAGCAAGCCCTGCTTGCCCCCAACCCTGTCTCCTGGTCTTCTCCCCTCACAACTTCCCCACTTTCACACAGCTTCCCTTTTTCTTTAGCTCCTTCTCTCTCTCCTCTCTCTCAGCCTCCACTTTCACCCTCCTCTTCTCCCCATGACCTCCCTGCCTCCCCGTCCTGCCTTTTCCTCTCTTCTGCTCCCTCTCCTTCCCACCCTCTCTCCCTACCTCCATTTCTCATTCCCCTCATCCTCCTCCTTCCCTCTCCCCCCACCCTCCAAGCCGCTATTCCAGGACAACAGAGCAGATGGCAGGCTGTTTGCTTTATACGTCCCTTTGGAAAATCAGCTCAGCTGTTGATTCTGCGACTTTTTCTAAAAACAGAAACTGTCCAACACTAGCTGAATGCTGGGGGAAAGGGAGGGGGGCATGGGGGGCCCTGCTCTCCCTACCAGCTGCACCGAGACCTTGTCAGTCTGCGCCCCACACCATGTCTGAGAACCCAGAGAGGAGCTGAACGCTAGAAGAAACACCCTCACAAGCGGAGAGAGCCTGGCCAGCTTCTGCAGTCAGCCTCGGTCCAGCCAAAGCTGATGGTAAAGTGGGGAAGGTGGGGCAGTGAGGAAGGGGCAGAGTCTTTTCAGCCCATCCATCCTGCTCATTGCTCCAAGTCTCCTGCTTCTCTGAGTGCTCATGAAAGCCGAGTTACGTGTGGTCTCCCCAGGCAGAAGACACACAGCACAGAGTGGAGGCTGATGCTCTTTCCAAGCCCTGCGTCTCCTCCTATGCTACTGGGGTAGCCATGAGTAAGAAGCCACAGGCCAGCATTGAGTGTGTGGGTAGGGGAAGACAGTCCTCACCTTTTTCTTTCCAGCTTTTCCCTTTTTTTGTTGAACCCCAAGGCACCAGTCCTTGGGCCAGCATTCATCAGTTGCCAACACAGCCATGAAGAGGATGTAGATTCTGTTCTGGCTCTTCCTCTTATCCAAATCACTGTCTTCATCCCTCACCTCTCCCTTCCCATGTGCTTATATCATCCATCCTTCAGATCTGTTGCTTCACGATATTCCTGGGTGGAGAGGGATCTTTGCTCCTGAACTCTTCCTCTCACTGTCCCAAAGGCCATCTTGTTCCCCCTCCTTAGATGTGACAATACCATCCCATTGATCCTGTAAGCCCCCTGCTCCGTCCCCACCTTGTCTCTGCTTGTAAGTGCTTTGGGGTAGGCACCATTTTCCTCTCTATGCAGCACCAAGCACAATCTGGCTTTGGCTCACAACTGGGGCTGCTGGATTCTCTGCCAGGGCAAATGCTGGGTATTTCATGGCATATCCTCCACCTGACATGCTGTGGCCAAAGGCACCATCTGCAGATTCTCTCTATGCCCCACTTCTAGAGGTGGGACGGGGAAAGCAGGGGTTCAGACTAGCAGCATCTCTCCTCATCCAATTGCCCTGTTTAGTTGAACCTTTTCTTACATTGCTAAAATCAACACTGTCATCTTCTCAAGCAGTGGCAGAAGGGTCAGGGCCAGCAAATCCATGTACAAAGTGCTCGGTTTAATTTGTTCTCAAAGTTCACTATGAATCAGACGCAGCTCCCAGCAAAACCAAGGGAGGCTTGACCGAGGCACAGTCAGATGTAACATCTGAAGAGGCTCCTTAGCCTTGCAAAATCCTGGAAGGCAATTTAAACATGAGAGATAGGCAAGGAGCCCATTCTCAGGGTCTGTAATTAATCGCATACAGTTCAAACAGGGAGAGAGATGAGTTCCCAGCTTTCTTGGAGGCCAAGCTGGATCAAACAGAGAGCGACAAAAATCTCAGGCTGTCAAGGAACACCCTTAAAGAGGCGATGCCAGCTGAGCAACAATAGCTCAGCCCTGCGCTCCTTTAACCTCCCAGGTAATTGGGCAGAAAGTCTAGGGGGAAAATTCCTGCATCAGCTGGTGAAAACAGACAGTTATTTGTACATTCGTGACGCTGCTCTTCTGCCTGGCCATGCTTATGCCAATGGTAACACATCCTCTTCAGTGTAGCCATAAACCCAGCGGTTTCCGGGACAGAAGGAAGTCCCAGTTAGGATGCAATCCCATCTCTGGCACCAGCTGCTAGCAGGTGCCTTGATGAAGAACATAAGGATGGTCCATGCCTTCCTCTGCCTATGCAGTTACCAAATGGAGGAGTCAGTCACCTTCCTTCACCTTTGCATCCACCCCAGAAGCGTGCTCAGGGGTGTGCACAGTCCCTGTAGCCAGTGCTGCAAAAGGGCAAGCCAGCTGTCTTGTAGGATTGTTCAGGGATTGAAGAGAAAAAAGATTAAACAAATGAATGAGAAGAGCTGCTGCTTCCACTTCTGGACTGTCTGAAGAGCCTGCATGGTAAGCAAGGGCAGAGGAAGCCCTGAAATTAAGAGGCCAAATCTGCTGTAAGGAATTTAGTATAACTGTCAGGTGAAAACCCATCAACTTCTCTGAAGTGTTATTTAAAAAAAAAAAAAGAAAAAGCAGTTTGGGGCCAACCAACCCAATCTCACCTCTTCCAAGGTGAACTCTGACTCACAGGCTGACATCCTCTCTGGCACTGGTGGGCTACAATTGTCCTGATCACAAAAACATCCAGAGCTGGGGGTGCAGGCAAGAGCCCCTTTCCCACTATTTCTGGGCAGCTCCCAAACAGCACTCCCAACGCACAGCTTACATTCCCCTGCTCTCCTCCAAGGCCCTGCTTGGTGATTTCTTTCCTTCCAATCTCCTTTCTTCTTGTTCCTATTTCTCACCTTCTGGCTTCTGTTCAATAAAGTGCTCATCTTTTGAAGGCTGCATCTTTAGCAAGCGGCCTGGGGAGCGAGCTGAAGGCTGCGATCCGACTACGAGTTGGGTAAATCCCACAGTGGCTTAGAAATCTGTTTTTCTTCGGCAGCAGAGCTGTTAAGAGGAGTTGGCACCAGGGACGGAAGCATTGTCTAGCGTTGCTATTCTTTTCTCTCCTCGTCAAGCCTTTAGCAACAACTGCAGTTTCCCACCTATTTCAGCTAACTTCTCTTTTCCCCCTAAAGAAAGGATATTCATTAGCATTTTTCTGCACTGTCAAATAGGGGTTTCCTTATAAAAATTCTTCACAGCTAAGGGGAAAGTGAAGAAAGGCTATTGTTAACATGAAAGCCTCACTTAATACTTTACATTTCAAATACTGTAACTGCTTTTTTTCCCCTCCTTCTCCTTTTTCTGAATCTTCAGTATACAGCTTAAACATCATTAATAGTGTTGGTTGCTATGGTGTTGAGCAGGCGGAGGTCTCTGTACTTGAAACCTTGAACTACACTTAACGTTGTACAACAGCAGGGTCATGCCAACACCTTTGACTTTGACACCGTTTTTCCCAGTAAAATAAAAAGACCATGTCTCCATCCCTTTTTGTTCTTGGGACATGGCTGGGGGTTTTTTCCTGCAATGAGAAAAGGGAGTGTGAGAGAGAAAGGAGAGAGCAATATTTAAAAAAAAAAAAAAGAGGGGAAAAAAATTTAATTGACCCAGTGGAACCTTTCCAAAAATTTTAACAGTTACATCAGAAAATCATGAAGGGGAATAAAAAAAAAGGCAGTCCCCTGAAAAGTTTCATGTGAGATTGTTTCTTATTTTCCCAAGCAGCTAAACATTTTAATAAACTAGGAAAACAAGACTGTAAAACCACAACATCTGACAGCAAGCCCCAGGGGCAGGAACCATTCCTGAAACTAATTTTAACTCAGGTTTTAACATTGATCAGATTTCATGTGGTGAACGTCCCCTTAAGCTGTCTCTCTGTTCTCAGAGAAAACCTGGTTTCTTTTGTCGACTCCGAGAAGCTATTTTCTTCCCAGTGCATTGTCGTCACAGGCGTAACAGGACTTTTCTGTCATTCGTTTCTCTACAGCCCAAGAGATGCCCTGCCCCAGACATCTTCTCATCTGTTCTCAGTTTCCTTATGAGACAAGACGTTTTCCAGAGAAGTGGCACTTAACTGCTCCAGCAACAAAGCCCAGTCTTAAACTGGTCCCCATGCAGCCACTCAAGGACTCAACCCATTTAGCATCTGATCTTAAGCCATGCAAAAGGCACCAGGCCAGTTCAGACCAGCTGAGGCCAGGATCCAAAGTGGGATCCCCTTGCTTTTCCCCAGGGAAGGGAGTCCACTCTACCGGTTTCTTCTCTTTCTCCAGGCACATGAATCACATTTTGCTTTGACTGTCACCAGGACACCTACAGATAGGGCTGGCTTTTTAACTCAAAGACTCAATTAACAACAACAGCTGAGAGTTTGAATGGGAAAAAAAGAAGACATCTAGGTAGTGTAGATTTCTCCTGAAGACTTTCACTTCTCACGGAAGCATTTTTCATCTTCTGGTTAAGTTCAAACCAAATTATTTGCCCTGTGGGGCAGGACTTCTTTATGCTGCACCTGCCTTCCACTAGTTGGGTGTCTCTGTTTTGAGCCACACGGCTCCTAGGTTTGCATAGCTGTGTGAGCCAAGTGCTTTGCACGGCTCAAGGAACGGCCATTGACTTCAGCTAGCCCCTGTCCCTGCTCAGGATGAATTTCCAGTACAAAAGCATGTTGTGCAAGAGAAGAAAGCAGGACACTCTGCTGCTTCACAAGCTGGTGAAATGCTGGTAGGAATGACCAGGCTGAAAAACAGCTCTACAGGCTGCTGCTTTCTGCTTCTCCAGAAATTAAAGTGCTCATTCATTTCTAGATCCTCCTTGCAGAGGTGGAAGTTCTTACTGATGCCTTTCCTTTCAATCTCACTCATGTAGCAGATGCTGGTGCTTGGGGGTCAGGGGGGAGGAGGAGACAGGGTGGCCAATTTTCAAAACGGTAGAGGCATGGTGATAGTTGCCCTTGGCTCTTCCAGACCACCAGCAGCAGGCTTAGTCACATCAGCAGCATCAAAGCTAAGCAGCTCTTCGGAGAAAGGGCATTTGTCCTTTCATCTGGAGATTACAGGAACCTTTCACAGATCCCAGCAGTGTGTTTTGAAAGGCTCTTTAAAGAGAAATACCTGTTTGTGGCACCACCTGCCATTTAAAACAGCCTCTTTGCCTTCCAGCTTTCCCTGCAACGCTCTCCCCCAGCCGTTTAACCGTGTGTGCATGGACAAAACGGTGCCAAGGCTCATTCCCCAGCAAGCAGAATTGCCCAGCTTTCATGCCAGGCTCTGTACTGAGAAAAAGACTCTCCACAAACGTGCCAGAAAGCTTGTAACCTATTTGGGCCTGCTCCTTCCCCCTGTTGTGCTCAGCAGGGACAGCAGGAAGGCAGAAAGCTGCTCTTAGCATCTGGAGGAAAGAAACACGGAGATAAAAAGCTCTTTGCTTTGCTGTTTCCATTCCTTCACGACTTAATTTTTTTGGTCAGGGCACAGAGAAGATTATAAAGCTGTAACCTCTAAGCCGCTCCTCAGTGCTCCTTCTCCATCTCTTCCTTTCTCCTCTCTTTCAGCCAGTCCTAATCCTGTATGTCTCCTCTCTCACAGGTAGGAGTTGGAGTCTAATCTCAGACGACAGGTTGGTAATTAGAGCAAGAGATTATCCTGACCCCGTATCAAGAAAGGAAAAAGAGAGGAACAATGCAGGGCCATACAAGATCAAGCCTTCAATGTTCAGTGCAGGAACCTCGGCCTGGCTCCTCCTGGCTCCTCCACCCCACAGCAGATGGGGCGATTCCTGATTCTTTGTACTTCCTGCCCTTCTGCCCTCTGCCAGGCAAGGACTACGCTTTCCCAGCACTCATTCATCACATAAACGGTCACATTTTCCATTTCTATAGACCTTGACTAAGCAGAGACTCAGCCAAGGGGCTGTGGCTGGGAAGAGTGGGCGGCGGGGAAAGCACAGGCAGATACAGAGGATGAGGACCTGCTCAGAGAGGCTGGAGCCATGACACGTGATCAGCCATCCTCAGTCAGGCACTGGTTACCCATACCCAGGGTCTTTCTAGTCCAGCAGGATGAATCCATGGCGAGGAGCAGCAGCAGCAGGTCCCCATCTCTGCCCAGATGCCCAGCAGTCACCACACAGTCCTTGATCTGCTCAGGAAGGCATACTGCTCCTACCCCTTGCAGGCATCCCAGCACAGATGAGAAGCCCATCCATCTTTGGCACAGATCTTGTCTCTTGTCCTGTGTCACTGGTATTCAGCAAGGACCAAAAAAGCCATCACAGAGCCCCAAGACCACAGCAGAAAATGGAAAGTTGGGAGCACCAAGCTTCTTCAGTGTCCCACTCCTTACATGCACAAGGTGAATGGATGTCACCAGGACCACGTAGCTGAGGTGCAGGCATCACCAGCCAACAGCCTGCAAGCACCAGGAGGTGTCCGGATAGAGATGGCAGTGGAGTGATCGAAACCTGCTGGGGAGAGAGCGAAGGAAGGTCAGGTGATAGTTTTTACACCAGTGCAGACTTGGAGAATGGAAGACCTCTCCCTCATGTCCCATCCCTCATCAGGCACCCACCCTGCACTACAGGGCTCCAGGACTGGTTGTTCACCTCAAGATGTCTTTTCTCAGCAAAGCTAAGGAGCCAAGCCTCCCTCCGACTCCTGAATCCAGCTCTGCTCACATAGCCCAAGCCCATGGCCCACTCTGATCACAGGCAGGGAGATGGGCACTGCACCAGCCCCCACTACACGGTTTTTGTTGATGCTCTTCTCGTCGCTTAGCTGCCTCCCACCCCCGCTATCTCCAGCCAGGAGCTTCCTACCCATGCTCTGCAAATAACAACTTTAGGTTTGTTCACTCAAAGCAGAGAAGGTAAATCAAAGAACACTTTTGTTTGCAGTCAGCCTGAAGTGAACCTTTCTCTTTTTTCCTTTCAGTTTTCTCAGCAAAACAAAAAATGAAAAAGCAAGCAGGATTTCCTTTCCTGAGTTTAAAAGAACATTTCTGTTCCTGTCCCAGAGGTAAAAGGTTAGCTGTTCAGTCTTAAAATGTGAAAAAAATGGCAATACTTTTGGCTCAGGAATTATCCAAATAAAAATGTTTTGATACTCCTTTTCTTCCCGCTCATCCAAAAAGGTTTGCAAGCATTCGCAAGCAGCTTAATGCTGGTGTGCTCCTCACCCAATAAGCCATGTGACTGCAAGGTTTCTGTCCCTCACTCTAGACCCCCTGCACCCCATTTGGCTGCCTCCCCCTCCCAGCCTATGGTCTGAGGGCTCACACCACAGCAACGCGCAGAGCACTCATGCCCCATACCTTGAGGGATCCTCTTGGGGTGAGAAGGGGCCGCTGAGTTCAATAACGTTGAGCTTGTTTTCAAAGACACCGTAGCTAAGGGTGACCTGCAAAGAGGGGTGGTGAGAAAGGAGGAGGGAGGGTGAGGTGAGTTCAGGAGCAAGAAACTTGCTTTGGGCAACAGAAGCTGCCATTCTGGTTCCTTCTCTGCTGGCTTGGCCTCTGCTTTCCAACTCTCCTCTTTTCCTTCCCATGGTGGTCTACCGTGCTAGTCCTTTGCCTCTCCAAGCCCCCTACACCCCTTGTCACCTCCCCATGCAAGGCAGGCATGGTGCCATCTCAAAGCCCCTTCCCCAATCAATCATCATTTCTGCTTGTCCTTGTGCCACATTCCCCCAAGGATGCCCTCAATCCTCGCATTACCCTCCACACATGTGCTCCCCGCCACTGACCCCAGGGACACTGTGACTGGCACCCACGCTGCTGGCAACATCTGCTCCTTATTCAAAGCAGCGTTTGTCAGGAAAGCCTCCCCAAAAGAGCAGACGATTGATTCAACCCACATCAGTGCCACCAACGGGGCAACGTGCCTGTCCCCTCCCCTCCTCCACCTCTCCTTCCTCACACAGCTCCCTCTTGCTCCGTTTCCCCTCCTCACCTGCTGCGTGAGCTGAGAGGAGGGGATGAGCTGCAGGTTCTCCAGGTGGGAGTGGAAGAGCGCATTGGGCAGCAGCTGCCTGCCGACTTTGCACTCAATGATGTAGCCCACAGTGCAGTCGTCCGGCAGGCGGATGAGCTCTGAAGTGCTCAGGAAGTTCTTGCCACTGGAAGAGAGTAGGGCTGCATGGGTTAGGACAAGGGTAGGAGGGGTATGGGCATCCACTTGGGTGGGAGATAAATGAAGGGAATTAACTGAAAACCAGAGTAAATCTTGGAACTAGGCAAGAAATCCCTGAGCTCCACCTGCAAACATTTGGGCGTGTGTTTGCTCTTTGACCACGCCCAGCCGTGCTGTCCCACCAATTGGCCGGTGCTGACACTGATACGTATCCAGCTCCTCAGTGAGCCAATGCAGAGAGCTGGCAGACCTTGCCAAGTCACTTTTCCACCTCTTAGGTGAGCTGCACTGAGCCCCTGAGGGGTCAGACAAGCCAGCGTAAGAGAAACAGTGGGACCACATGGCCAGGACCAGGAGGAAGAAGAAACAGGACAGTCTCTTGCAGCTTAAATAAGACATCTGTGGCTCCACTGTAATGTAACACCACACACTTGGCCATCCTTTGATGACAGGCGAAACCTAATTTTAAGGCTCCTGTAACTGGAAGCAGCCACACAGCATGAAGCACTTTCTACTATAAGACCCCTCAGCTAGTTCAAATGTGTTTCAAGCATTTTAACGCAGCAGTGGCAGAATTTATGCCAGGTTGGGTGTTACCTATCCACACCACTTTCATTCTACCCTAGATGACAGATCATCCTCCTGCCTGGGTCTACTATAAAACACGTATCATGGGCTTCAACTAAACCAGCCACCTGATGTGATTCAGATCCATCTTTCTGGGTATGCACAGTTCTGGTTAAGGCTGGCACAGCTGCTGCCTATCGGTGGATGTGCATCTGACATCCTGGAAAACATCATCTTCTTGTAGGCTGTGCTAACACAAGACTGTGGGGCCTACCTCTGTTCTGCATGCACCAAGGTGAGGAAATGACAGCGGCCACTGTAAGAAGCTGAGGAGGGTTTGGGGTGGAGGAATGGGAAATTAGGTCAGGAGGGAGGTACAGGAGTTTGGAAAGAGGCAGACTGAGGAGAGAGGAGATAGGCAGATTAAGGAGAGAGGAGATAGGCAGACAGGGAAAGCACTTAGGAAAAGAGTCGGAGGAAGCTGAAAGGGATGGGAAGGAGTGTGGGGGAATAACCAAGAGCTGAAAGGAGTTGGGGAGGGGAGAGTATGTCATCCTATGCTCATGTTTGCTGGTGTGCCTGCTCTTGCCTCATTTTACTCAGGTGGCAGACCCACCCACTACATCCTTCCTCCAGTCTCACATGCTTGTAGAAGTGGAGCACATGGTACTCTGCACCCTTGCAAACATCCTTGCAACCACCACATACACAAATCCAGATTGGGCGCTGCCAGGAATTATTGTGCATCCAGGTTCCTCATCCCCAAAGTCTGCACAGCTCACCTGGCCCATGGCACCATCTTGCTTGCCAGCTTGCGGCTGATGCAGAAACCAGCTCCTCCTGTGGCAAACCAGAAGCGCACAGATTTCTGGAGAGAAACAGCAGAGAAAATCAATGGCAGAGGGTCAGATGATACCATACTTCCTAAGATGGGAATGCTGGAAATCCAGCTTTGATGCCAGAATAAACACAGACCTATTGTCACCCCAGACCCCTGACTGCTCGCCAGAAGGACTTGCCAGCAATACAGCATGGATTTTAGCCTCCTTGTATTTGGACCCACCAAGTTCCTGCTGGCAACAGCAGGTGGGATGCCCAAGGCAGGCTTATCTCCTGGCAGACAGGTACCCAAAGGCACAGCAGCAATGCGGGACCCTCCCTAGATAGATCAGATTGAGTCAACTCCTACAACCATGTTCCAGGACCAGCGAGTTTTCAGCTGCTGCCTGTTGCTCTTTGGACCTGTCTCTCCTTGGGATACATCTACAGCCAAAGAGCCAGAGCACTAAAAACAACCCATTGGCCCCACCACCACCACGGGCTGTACCGTCTGGTTGTTTGGCAGCGTTTCAGAGGCCCAGATGGGTCGGTTCAGGCTGGGTTTCCCCAGGTAAATCTCCCATGATGCAGAGTAGGAGGACAAGAGCTTCAGGAGGGCATGAGGGTTCAGGTAGTTGTCGTCATCCAAATGGCAAAACCAGCTGGGAGGAATGGGAACAAAGACAGAAGAGGTTTGCGGTAAGGAGGGTGCTTCTTTCTCTCAGGGGTCCCCCCATGGCAGCCCTGCCTCACCTCTGGCTGCTGGCCAGGAAGGCATCAAACTCAGCGGCCATCTTGCAGGAGAGGGCCGGGTGGCTGTGCTCAGCAGAGCAGTTGGTGAAGACCACATGGTCGCCTGCCGGGAGAGAAAGAAGGCTGTGGCTTGGGGCTGACCTGCTTCAGGTGGTCATGGGGAGGACCTCTGGGCAGGAGGGAAGGGGTTTGTTCACAGCCAGCCTCCTCATGGCCCCCCAAGCAGGCATCCGAGCCCACAGTGACATGGGCTCCATCCTTCCCCCTACCAGGAGATGAAACCTGGAGAAAGCCAAGCATCTTGGCCAAGACTAGGACATCTGCCAACCGCACTTTCACCCTGCCCACTGCCAGCCCGGGTGTGGGGGCTGAAGGGCTCTCTCCCAGGCTGTTTCCACCCATGGATGCTTTGAGGCAGACAGCACCCCACCTCCAGTTGGCTGCATGCCCTGGGGTAAGCCAACTAAACCAAATCATCACTTGGGGACTTCATGGGTGCTAGACTCCCTCCCCAGGGCCGTGACCGTTCAGAGGCTGAAGGCAGGGAGGGGAAGGTGGTGTTATAGGACAGGTCATTACCCATTCTCCTTTTCAGGGCATCGTCTTCTTCATCAGTGAAGACGTAGGTCTGGGGGAACAAGGAAAGGAGGTTACTCTCAGAGCTGGAGCTGGTGCTGCTCCTGGCCGCCCACCCCTTCCTCCCCGCAGCCGGACTCGCTCGCTGGGGCAGGCCCCCTCCCTGCCCGCACTCCCCCTTCCCGCACGGCACCATCATCTGCCCTTGTGTGGCTTCATTCCCCCCACCCCACCGCCTTGGGAAGAGGGAGAAAGGCACCCGTGACAGGGGGTGAGGGAGCCCTGGCTGAGGTGTCAATTGCAGAAAAACAAAAGCACCGTGGCTGAACGATGCTGGGGTTAAAAGGAGAACATCTGTTTGTGTGTTAAGTGTGCAACAGGCCCCTGCTGCTTCCCGCCTCCTCCTCCTCTTCCTCCACCCCCATGCCTCTCTAATCCCCCTCGCTGCCATTATGTGGCACATCTCCCCCTCTGCAGGGCCAGGCGTGGAGCGCGGCTGGTGGAGAAAAGCTTTCCTCAGGCAGAAAATGAGCTTTCATGAAATCAAAAAGGACTCGCGAGCCATAAACAGTCACTCCACCAGCTGCCCACAGGCTGGTTAAATGCAGCACCTGGGCAGGGACAAAGGGGACAAGGCAGGCAGACAACAGCTCCAGGGGCCGTCACAGCTCTGACTAGGAGGCGAGAGTCCCTACTTCCCCCCACCATGCTCACCCTGCACTGGGGAGATAGACAGGCCCCCATCAGGAGGACGTGGCAGAAGAAATGTTCTGCACACACGAGGGAAGGCAGTGAAGGACCCTTGGAGCCCACCTGGCTTGAGCGGGGGCGGCGGGATGGATTCACCATCTCAAAACGTACCTGCGGCAGCGACTTGGAGAATTACCCTCCACGCACACATTCCTACCCCACCCCACCGGCAAAGCCTCGTCATTAAAACCACTTTCAAAGTGATCACGGGACAAGAAGCAATTAGCTAAGTCTCAGGTAAAGGAGTCGTTCTGGGTCAGGGGACTGTATCACAACCTTCAGGCAAGGCAGGGATTGTCAGTGGCACAGGATTTCCCTCCATAGCATGTCAGAGCCAGGAATTTCCACTATGACAAATATTTCATCTCAAAAAAAAAGTTCTGAAACCATTGAAACTTTCTGACATTTAAAAAAAACCAGAAATGTTGTTGCTGGAAATGACTTGCTTACGGATATAAAATCAGCTAATAAACATCATATCTGATTGACTTAAAATGGGAGTCTGGACCTTTTCCCAGACTTTCTACTTATGAAAATATTCCAAGGTTCCCACTTTCTTCTTGGTGTAAGGTGGGAAATGCTTTCTTGCAGACATCTGACACATTTCTGTGGGAACTCAGGGGTGAAGGAGCATTGTCACCACGGGGAACACCAGACTTTCCAAAAGAACTGGGAAAAGGGGGCTATGAGTTTGGGGGGGGGAAGTTGGCAAATCTCATTTCTCTGGCCCTCCCCAAACTCTGATCTCCATGGTAGGCCTGGCTGCAGCACTCCAGAGATGCTGGTGTTCTGTCCCGAAGGAGATCACAACAGCACAGGCAGCTGCCTACAGCTTCATCTCTCCATCCCTCAGGCCTCCGAGAGCAGGAAATCTGGAACAGCAGCTGCTGCCAGAATCCGAGCGACTGCTGCCGTGTGTCCCTCAGCAAAGCTGCACATGATGGCTGGGATGGGAGAAAGAGAGGAGAGCCCTGTCTAAAAACCTGCCTGCAGAGCATTTGGCCCAGTTACACAGGTCTTTCTCAAGGAGACACTGGCTGCTGTTGTCCATACTAAAGGAGCCTGGAAGAGATCCAGAAGGTCTCTCTGGCCATGCCAGACCTACTGTCCCCACTGGGGATGGGCAAGCAGAGGAACATCCAGTGTCACTTGTGTCCCTGCAGGCAAATGGGGTGGATAGAAGCAGCCTCCCCACAAAATCCACCCTCCACCAGACCATCCATGGGGCCACGCAGGATCTCCTGTCGTGCTGCCTCAGTGCTTATGGGCTGCCCACTCTGTCAGGCGGCCTGTGGGCCTGTGGAGCAGCCGTTCAGCCACAACTTCCCACTCGCCTCCTCTACCACGTCACCCCAGCATGGTTCCTCCTGCCAGGGTTGGGGGGAAATCACAGAGCCCAGCTCCCATCCGCACTAAGAGCAGCCTGGGGTGGCTGTCACTGCCGCTGCAGGGCAGCTGAGCTGGGCTGAAGAAGGGATGCAGCGCAGAAGGCGGAGAAGATGGCTGGATAGGGAAGGATGTCTGCTGGATGGCAGTGCCAGCAGGGATATGGAGCCACTGGTGTCCAACAGCCTTGCCTGGGAGTTCTCCATGAACATAGGTGCCCATGCAATTGATAGATGCCAGACTTTGAGGCTTCCTCACCCCAAACTGGGAAAGTAGCCCAGCAAGGCAAAACTAGGAAAAGAGAATAAAGATGTGGAATCTGACAGGCCACGACCACATTCACCTCCCAGGTTCCCAAAGTATCCCTCCTCCAGGAAAAAACAGCCTTCGAAATTGGTTATGGGTTGCTGGTGCAGCTGGGCAGGAAGCTGTTGCCCTGCCCGGAGAAGAGATTCAAAATCTATGGTGTGTTCACAACACTGAAAAATGTGAAAGCCAGTTCAGGATGGGTCATTTAAAGGTTTCACTTCAATCAGTTGGGTGTTTGGGTTTCTGAAAGGAGGAGAGGTGTTAGTATTAACTTACATTACCAAACTAAATTCTAGACCAGAAACCTAGGCTTATCTCCATCAAAACTACTGGGGCCAAGAATGTAAGCCACCCTAAGATGCTGTCCAGCCTAAACAGTCGTCGGAACAGATGCTTCTGTTTAGATGAAGCCTGTCATGGATCCGTTCTGAAGAGGCAGAGCACGGTCCAACTTCCAGTGAAGAGCACCCACCCCACACTGCCCCTTCTCCATCTCTCACCAGCTGCATATCTTCTCCTCTGTTTCAACCGTGCAGTTTCAGGGAAAATCTCCCTCTCTGTCTTATTGTCTATCCTGGCAGGGTTCAATAGAGAGGACTTCTAATTTGGCTCCCGTACAGCCTGTCTTAGCCATAAAAACCACAGCTGTTCCTGCCTCCTGTTACAGTCACCTAAGCCTGATCTGCGGGGTCTGGGTTGCTTCCTCCGGGAGGACACCATGCGGGGTAATCAGCTCCAAAACCAGGCTTGGCATCAGCAGCATGGCCAGCTGCTAAAATTCTTCCTGCTGTTCACCTGCAGAGAAGGACCCACTGAATCAGTCTCCAGCCATGAGTAAGGGCAGGTGAGACAGCAAGACGGTGGGTCGGCCCTAGGAGGAGGCAGTCCCTGCACATGAGGGCTACTGAGACCCGGATCTCTCAGAGACCGGCTCTTAAAGCCTATGCCTCTCCATAAAGACTCAATAAAAGGAGGTCTGGTGCCTTATCCCTGGCCCCACAGCAATTAAATGTCCTTTGCAAAATGCGAGCTCTCTTTTTTTGGCTAAGTGAGGTTTCCATATTGTATATTTTTCAAAACTAACCCTTTCCCCTACCTCCAAAAAAAACCCTCCAGCAGCAGTAGATTTAAAAAAAAAAAAAGGCTTTTGACTTTCATATACTTCTCCTTACCTCCCTCCCCACGCCCGCTCCCTTGCCCTCAAGGCCATTTAGTAAAAAAAGCAGAAGAAAAACATGGAAAATCGAGGCGGGGGGAAGGAAAACACTGAGCTTGCAACAAAAATTGATAACAATGAAAAAAACCCCGCTGTTTAAAAATGACTGACGCTCCCGCTCTACCCTTCCTTCCTCTTCTCCTGCCCAGTCTGTGAAGCTTTCCCAGAGGCTGGCAGCGGCATGGAAAATTCAACACCTCTTCCCAGGTTTGGACATCATTTGCCTACCAAACAGAGAGGGTCAGATGAATCCGGGGAGCTGGTACCTAATTCCTGTCATCGGCAGAATGGCCAGGCACCTATTTCTCAAACACACGAGGAAGGAAAGGTGAGCTGCCCCTTAAAAACCCATTCCAAAAGCCCCAGCCACAGTATCTCAGTGCCCGTGCAGCCGTGAGGTTGGGTTTGGTTTCTCCTGCGAGGCTGAGGTCGGGCGGAGAGGAGAAGTGCATCTGGAGGAGGAAGCAGGGCACCTCAGATGCCGAGAGGGACGCACAGGCAGGAGAGGAAGCACACTCAAAATAGGACACGGCTTCCTGTGACGACCGCAGCAGACCAGACAGTTGCAGCACCATGAAGTGGAAAACCACCCTTACCCAGAAAACCCTGCATTGCTTCAAGCGCTCTCCTACCCAATACCTCCGCCCCCGCCCCCCTCCCTCAATGGGGCCTGAATTTGCTTTCTAGGCGCCCATCACACATGGGCAGAAGCAAAAAAAAACCCCTTTGGGGGCAGCCACGGGAATTATTCTCTCTTGACAAGCAGCTCTGTGAGGGAGGAAGAGAAGTACCCAGGCTCTCGGGAGTTCTTCTGCCCACCAGTAAGCCAGGCTGCACAGCACCACCAACGTGGTGCCCCACCTCAGTTCCTCTATCAGGAAGGAAACTCTCCGAACATTGCTTTAGCAAAGGGTGAAAACCTCAGACCCCCAGTGAAAAAAAAATATTTTGAAAGTCAAATACAGACCCGCATCACTTCAAGATCGTGCACATGAGGGGATCTGCCCAAGAAAGCATGGCATGGATTGTGCTGATGTGCTGGGGAGCAAACAGGGCTGCAAACACCCCTCCTTGCGCCCACGTCCTGAAGCCCTGCTCTCCTGCCAGCTGCCCCACAGCTCCCCAGGATGAAGGGTGCCCAGGCACAATGCGGGCAGCCGGATGGAGGGTCGGCGGAGCCACTCAGCTCAAAACCGAGCAAACGCGTGGCACCAGGAGGTAGAAAACCACCATTCCATACGGACCCAGGACAGTCTGTGCTCTCAGTCTGGTGTGGCCCAGGCAGTCTGCAGCCCCCAGTGTTACTGGAGGAAAAAGGGAAATTAAATTAAATCCCCTCCACCTCAGGCTGAAAGAGTCAGGCTTAGGTTAGGGGTGCCTGCTAAGAGCACTCGTCCTCCCAACTCATTCTCTCTGCTAGCCTTTCCCATGAACCAGCTACCAGTGAAACATTTTGCTGGGTAGCATTCCCCTTTTAACTTGAACAGAAGAGAGAATTAGGGAAAACAAGGCAAAGTACTGGGTGGGACTGCAGTGCCCAGCCTCCCCTTCCTTTGGCCTTTACACACCCCCCCCCCCCCCGCCCCGACACCCCATCCCTGCCCTGTTATCAATCGCTCTAGCCGAAATCCACACACTCACCTGCTCTCTTACTCGGGATATCCACGTGTCCAGGAGCAGCTCCATCCTGGTCTGGTGAAATCTCTTGGTTGTCTTCACGGCTATGAAAATGTCCCCAAGGGTCAGGCTTCCCTCGGTCCCGTATCCCCCCGGAGGATGGACTTGCAGGCCCTTCTGCCCCCTGCCACTGCCTCCCGTGACATCTTCTGGGCTCACTTTGCTCCGTCGCTCCAGCTTCTCCGACATCGCCTCCTTGAGCCCTGGGTACCGAGCGGTTTCCTGAGCCCCACGGTGCCGCACAGAGAGGAGAGCCAGGCTGACAAGGAAGACTGCGGCTCCAGAGAGACCACGGATGAGCCGACAGCCCATGGCTCCCAAATTGTTCCCGCTGCAGCCAGTATCCTACCAAACAAGGACAACCTCTGCCTGTACCTCCATGTGAAGCTGTCCACTCTTCTCAAAAGGCGGGTGGAAAAGCCGAGGGCGAGGTCTGAATAGGATGTGGCCAAGGAAAAGGGTGGGCGAAGACCAGAGAGCCAAAGAAACGGCAGCCCCAGAGGATACTAGTGAAGCCGGGGGAATTTTCACCGACTAAGAGGGCTCGACGACCCAGCGAGGCAGGGACACGTGATGGGAAAACACTCCGAGGTGACCGGCAAGTGGCTGGCACAGCCTGCCAGGAGGAAAGTGAGCATCCCCACTCCTGGCAGAGAGGCGGAGGGTCCCAG